AAAAAAAAAAGAAAGTAATTTAACATGCAATTATATATGTATATAAAGGAAATATCTTAAATAAATCTATATGTATTTTACATTTACTTACCATCTCGGTCATTAATTCCAGCTTCGATCCTACTTCTTTTGTGTTCTTTTTTAATATATATCGGAGGTAATTGTGCCTCTGACATAGGAGTATTTTCGTAGAGAAAACCCAAAGAATAATCGATATAAACATCGTTATCTGTTGTAGGAGGAGTAGGAGGACACCACATCTAATAATTAAAATAAATTTTCCATGGATAAAAATGAAAATGCAAATGGCAGAAAATGAAAATAGAAATTAAAATTTTTATACTAACCGGCATTTGCTCCACATTGTCGTCCGACAACCATATCTGCAAGATATTAAAGTACGTCTATGAGATTACAAAAATTACAAATAAAAAAAAACTTGCTTCAAGATTTAAAATAAAATTTACGAAGAACGAGCGTCGTGTATGGTGCATTCGCTTTGATGCATTCAAATATGGCGAATAATTTGAGAAAAAAAAAAATGGTTTCTTCTTTTTATACATATCTTCATATGTCTTCTATTAAACGCAATCGAATAAATGAAGATGGAACATGAAGGAAATGAGTAGGAAGTATACATACATTTTGCTCGTTCAAAGGCTCATTTTTCTACTGAGAGAATTTCATTACTTTCGCATAAACATCAAATATTGTACAAGACGCTCATTAATGTGCCTGCTTATACCTTGGCTGACTCCAAGTTTGGAATGGCAAAGGCAGTGTTTTGGTGCCATTTTTCAAATAATTATTTGGAGCTTTCTACTGCATGCTATTATCTATCTCTTGCAAAAAAAAAAAGAAAAAAAAACTTTCCTTTAATGTGCGGTCATGATAGCCTTGCCACACCAAAACATCGCGAGATCATTACTCTCAATGATCTCAGTATGTATAACCAAGCACACTGAGCAAAATTTGACACCAAAACGGAACTGAACCTTTGATCGAACAGACTTGGATCCGCACCAAGAAATAAGAAAACACATGATCTTCGTAGCAAGGAATATTTTGTTTATTTCCTTCCTCGGACTCACTCGATCATACAAAATACAGGCACGCAACTTAAATATTACAGTATAGCATACCATTAAACGAAGAATTCCTTAAGTCTAATATGTAATCAGGTCGCCACCTTGCAAAGTATATGATACAAGGCGTTACACGGGAGCAAAGTACGACGCGTTCACAGTATTAATTCCATTTTTTTTTATCTCTGACTTGACTGCCTATTTCTTTTGTTTATACCAATTGCTACAAAATCGTAGCAGGTCTTCTATAGCATACTAATAAACTAAGCTGTAATGAATCTTTTTCTCCTCTATCCTATTATAATACAGTCGGATGTTTTACTTCCTTTATCATTCTCTTTTTTTTTTCTTTTTATCACCAAGTATAAATTACAATGTCACTTAAAGATATCTGAAATCTTTACAAGAAAGTACAATTTACAATGCTAAAAATGTTACACGTGTGTACTCTCAGTACAACGAAAGAAACATCTTCATTTATCATTATTTTTTGTGATTATATACAAGAATCATGTGAAAATTAAGAAATAATTAGAACTTGGATTCTCTTACGCGTACGCCATTCCAAGTAGTAGTAATTTAAGACAATATTTATGTCTATACTATGAGAAGTATTTATACAAACACGCTGCTAAATATTACAGCGATAAAGTTTTAGCGAGACTCAAGATATAGTACCGCTACCTAGTTTTTCCAGTTGAGTTGTTTGCGAAGAAGGAGGAGGAGGAGTAAGCTGAGAGCGAATAGACTTTTTCATTGGCGGTATTTGTTCTTCATTGTCTAACACATCGGTTATTTGTGATTCATTCGTTTTTCCACTTATCAACGGCTTTGCAAATGATGACAACCGAGTTCGTTTAATCTTCCTTCTCAACCTTTTCGATCCATCGGATGAATCGTAGTTAGGATCATTATCCAAGTCAACCAATGCTATCACCGTTGATTGTACGGGTAATGGAACTTTATCTGTTTTAAGCTTAGAATTCAATGATGTGCCTTTATTCATAGTTGATGCCTTCCCTGTTTTATTGGAATTGGTATAAGTACTTGCTACGTTGGAAAATACATTGGAGGAGACGCGATCTCGAGAACCAGCGTCCAATCCAGAATCACACCACCCATCTACTTTACAATGCGAAGTAACCTCTGAGATTCGAAGAACGCAATTTTTCGCTGACGAGTCAGACGTAGAATTGAAATTAGAATCGGTGTTTTTTTTATTATTTTTCGCATCAGACGAATTGCAATTAGAAGATTTTGCGTGAACGGAGCTAGAAGCTTTACTGGTATGATTACTCCTTGTATCCAGTGTAAGTATAGCAACGACTTTAGCGGTTCTTTGCGGTCTCTCGTTAATTTCATTAAAAGAGGATAACGTTGAATTATCTTGCTTCGAATGTGCGTCTGATACAACTGCGTTTCCGTTTGAATCCGTGTTGAATGTTTCCGTTTTTCCAGATACTGGCGAAACACCAGAAGCTCTATCGTCCTGTAATTTTGAATCGGAAGAATCTATTTTCCGGATGTGTTTATTCCCTTTGTTCGACACATGATTAGAGCTCTTCACCGAATTTAACGTAAAATTCAATCCAGATCGAGTGACTCTCGATCCTTGCTCAGAAATAGGAACAGGTGTGTCTAGTTGCCGTTTACCTGTATTTGTACTAGCATTGGTAGATTCGCTACTTTTTTTAGACCTGGTTGACACAGAACTAGCTACTGAGTCTTTCGATTCAGGCGTCGATTTCATCGGCGGTATTGAACTGCTCCTTCGAAACACAGTTGGATTCAGAAAACCATTATCCAAAGACTTGGAGCTACGTGTCGTAGGTTTTTCATATGGTACTTCATGCGACGTTTGTTCTTCGTTTCTTAACAGTGAAGTGAAATTCGACATAGATCTTGTTGCTGGTCGTGGAGAAGATCTGAAACATTCTGGCAGAGGGGTGTCCGGTCGTCTTCTTTGCACTGATTTTGTACTCAGTGGAGGTGTTAATGAACGAGCACTTGTTGCACTTGATCTTGTAATCCTACCATGTTCTATCGTTGGTCGAGGTGTGTCGGGCCTTCGAATCTGCGTTACTTTATTAACTTCTTTGCGACAAACATTCGAAGTTGAATTGGAAACTTCACTTTCTTGACTTTCTTTTGATTCACTAGGTAATATCGACGGTGACTGCGTATCCAAGTTTTTATTTTCAGAACTTTCTACGGTAATATTTACTTTTGCGCTTCTTGTAGTCACTCCACAAGGTATTGTATCTGGTTTACGAAATTTCACCTTACTTTCTGTGTTAGATTCAGATCCATTTGATTCGTCTAAACCAAAGACATCTAAAGAAAAACTATGATTATTACATCGTATCGATGAAGTCATTTGAATTTTCGTATCGTCATCTTTGCGCACATATTTATCTAATTTAATACAGTTTTCTTCTTGTTTGCTGCTATTAGATTCCTGACTAGACGTTGATTCTATCACAGAGGTGGGTTCGTTATCATCAGCAGACTTATTTGTCAAATTTGAGTTTGAAATATTTTCATTATGTTGTTTCTTGTTTGTTCTTTTGTCTACGTCCACGTTTTCTTTTATCTCGGTGGGACTCTGTACTCTCGCATCATTTTTTGCACAACATTCATCGTCAGAAACATTTGTATCTTGGCATTCGTTCTTGGTATTCACATCACTATCTTCTAATATCTTCGATTCCGCGTTAGAAAGCGACTCTTCTTCTAATTTCATATCTAGTTTATCGATACTGGATGAAACATTTTTACTCTTACAAACAGAATCATGTAATTTATTTGTTGTAGATTCAACAATACTTTCGTCTGCATCTTGAACGATCATTTTATTCTTTAGGGGAGCAATCAATGAGTTTTCCGATATATTAATTTCTTCGTCTATTTCTAAAGTCATAGAACTTTTCGAACATTTCGAATCAGGAACTCTTTTTACTGTATTCGATGATTCTGTTGCAGACAAATAAGAGTTACTATCTTGTGAAATCAAATCAGCATTAGAATTTTCGGAATCATCGTTGCAATTTGATCCTGTAAAGTATACTGAGGGTGAAATATTCTCAGTCAACTCCGATGTTGCTTCACTATCGACTTTATCGTTAATTATATCTTCTTTTGAATCTTTATACTGTTCCAACACAACAGATGAATTATCTGATTGAGAACACGCTTCTGTTTCTAGCAGATCTAAAGAAATGACAGGATTAGATTCTTCTGCGACAGTTTTGTTATAATTAGAATTTGACGAAGAAGTTTCAGTGGGACAATGATTTGCAATTACTTTACAATTTTCAACATTTTCAAATTGTTCTTTGTCAACAGACGGAATTATTTTTTGTTCAGTATCAGTATATTTTAAATCACGTGTGATCACCGTATCTTTTTGATCTGTAATATCTTCTTCATCGATTTTATTCGAAATATTTGCATTATTTAACTTCTTAGGACTTGAAATTGGTGGCATAGGTAAAATGAAACTTTCCTCTGCTTTCATTCTCATTTCAAGCTCGCGCTGTTTACGTAAATTACTGGCTCTACCTCGGCATTTTGGCTTTATACCAGGCAAGATGGGACTTACGTCCAATGTCCACAAATTAATTTTAACATTTCCCCTAGATCTCGTTCGCGGACTATTCAAATCGAAGTGATTTTGACTAAACGATTTATTAGTACGATTTTTACGTTTGGGATACCCGCCTTTTTCAGAGTCATTCTGATCGTGTGTCTCCTCCTCCTCGTCTTCATCGCCTTGACTTTGACTTTCCGTATGACTCGATTCTTCGTCAAGACTATCTTCTACCACATCTTCTTGCGATTCTGATTCTGATTCTGTAGTAGTCTCAGTTTCACTTTCCGATTCTTGAACACTTTTACTAATATTCTTACGCGAATTCCTCCTCCTATTCGGTGGGAGTTTCTTATTGACTAATTTCTTAGAATTACTAGCACTATTAACCTGATTTTGCGCATCCTCGCGTCCAAATGTTAAAGGTTTCTCGTCATCATCAGCCAACCGCATTCGTCTTTCTTCTTCCTCGCGTAGCGCTCGTAATCGATCTAACTCCCACTCTTTCTTCTGTTCTTCGAGTTCACGTTCAGCTGCTGCAAGTTGTGCCGCAGAAAACGCACCCTCTGATTCTTCGACAAATTTCATCGCATAACGTTCTATAGGTGTTAACTATGTACAGAAAGAAGCAATTTTTAACAAATATCCCATCGCCATACAATGCTAACTGAATAAAATATTTACATATAAATGTTATCTTACCTGAGATACCAAGTTTTGTACTTCAAGCTCAGCCTTGCTGACTTGCATATCGTCCCTGTCTGCGTCATCTAACGGTATATTTTCGTCAAATTCTGCAAGATCAGCAACAGCTTCTGCTTTAGCAGTCTTTGCAGCCTGGACATCAAGATCTTCTTCAGCAGCAGCAAGAGCGCTTTCTAGCGCACCTATCGCTACTTTGTCGTCTAAAGTTTGACTTTGATTATCCTTTTGTAAGAATTTCTCTCGATCTCTATTTTGATCCAATACTTCAGCCATTCGAGTCGTCGCGTCGTTATCCGATTGATCAATATTAAATAGATCTTGAATCGTAGACTGTAAAAATAAATATATTTTAAAGTATATAAAAAAAATATTTTAAAATATATTCTATTTCACATTCCTACAATACTTACACTTTTGAAATAAGCGGTTGTAAAATTACCACCCTCGATAGCTAAGTCTCCAAGTAGTCTCTTCTGATTGGCTTTTTTCAGAATATTTTCTTCTACAGTTTTTTCACTTACTAACCTGAAACATGTGCAGAATAATTGATTACATATATTCAAAAATATAAAATGTACATACTACATTTTTTGTATATACCTGTAGATATGTACATCTCGTGTTTGACCTATTCTGTGGCATCTATCTTGTGCTTGGGCATCCATTGTGGGATTCCAGTCACTATCATAAAATATAACAGTATCTGCTCCTGTAAGATTGACACCTACACCTCCAGATCTCGTCGATAAGATGAAACAAAATATTCGTTTGTCTCCATTAAATCTTTCCATCAAAACCTTTCCCATAAAATAAATTAAGTTAAAGAACAATTAAGAGAAATAACAATATTCATAATAAATGAATTATTACCTGTCGTTGATCTACTTTAGTAGTACCATCCAAACGTAAATATATGTGTCCATGAAAATTAAGAAAGGCTTCTAATACATCCAACATTCTTGTCATTTGTGTAAAAATTAAAACTCTATGGTTCTCAGATTTGAGCTTTCTAAGAAGTTGATGTAAAGATTGTAATTTTCCACAATCGTATTGTATCAATCTCGGATCTGGAAACTGCGTCATCATTGCACTAGCTACTGGATGGAACAATGCCCATTTTGACGATAGTTGCCGTTGTAATTCCATTTGCACACGTCGTTGGTTGTATAACTTATGCGGAGGTGGATGAGAAACGTGAAAACGTGGTGTAGGAGCGCACACAGCAGGAACGTGTACAACAAATCTAACATAAATTGTATAATATAAGATTGAACAATTTCAAGAAATAATTGAATGTTAAATTTTTATTATCAGTGTGTAATACCTTTCAAAAACTTCTTTCAACTCCTCGACAATTTTTTCTGTACTTTTGATTGCCTCTGCAAGTGCTTCTGTGCGAGAAAAAAATTGCCTTCGTGTACGTGCACTGTCTTTAGCAGTTGCACAATGAACCCAGCCATTGTGCCATCGACATGCTGTAGATGGTTTGCCAATTCTTAATGCCATAAACAAATCTTCTCCGTACAGAGGACATGCTGCACATCGTCTTTCATTAATGTTTGCAAGCAGACGAAGTTTAGCTTGCCTTCTTTGTTTCCGTTCTTCTTCTAATTGTGGCTATAAAAAGATATTACATTCAAAAATGTTTGTCTTTAAATCCCTCAAGTATTTACGAACTTGTTCAAAAGTAAAATAATTACCAAATAAAATTCCGATTTTGGACGTTCTTTTGTTTGTGCCTTTTCTGATTCCTTTTGTGCGTGTCTAGTAACAATACCACATCGGATCGATTGCTGAGATTGTCCATTCCCAGCGGGAGACTGTGCAGTAACATTAGAAGAGGTAGTAACATTAAGTGGCGGTACTCTCATTACAGGTCTTCCACTCGTCCCACTTGTAGTTGTTACCACTCCTCCTATAACTTTATTTACTGTAGTTGCCGAGGTAGATAGGCCCATTAATGATTTTGGTAAAACTTTTAAACGTGGCACACATGGAGTCATTACTGGAAATGAAACTATAAATACGAAAGAATATTAATCATTTTGTAAATAAGTTCAATCAATTTATCAATTTACTAAACTAGAAATATTGCCTATTAATACAACGTAAATACAATATATCATAGTCATGCATTTTGTATTACTCTTTAACATTCATTTAAATACATACAAATGATATGAAAAAGGATATATATGGTTCACATTTTTTAAACATGGAGCATAAATGAAATCAGTGGGATATAAGCACTCTTAGCACAAACCTGTGTTAGTACTTTGTTGAGTCGAAGTCAGAATGATATGTCTACCAATAGATGTTTGAACCACTTGTGCAAGATTAGGCATTGCTATTCTTTGGACGGAATCACCTTGTTTAACTGCAACTGTCTGCGTTGCTAGTCGTTGCAGTCCATCTATGATATTTGTATTCCCTACTGTAATCCTCTGTGCATTCGTTGCTGCTGCAGTTGGTGTCACTGTTGTACTTTGTGGGTTATGTGCTAGTGTTCCAACAGGAATTGCTATTTTCGAAGCAAACACAACAAATGTTTTACACAAACTGTGATTCACAAATGTTAGATTATAATTAAATGTAAGTTTTGTTAATGTGCTCTCGGTTCTAGAATGCTTATAATATGGGAGAACTATAAACAAGCTGGCCCAAGATCAATTTCTCTAGCACCACTGCAAGAATGATTACACAATGATAAGTTTGAGTGCAACCACTGATCGATGATGCACAGATTTCCAGGATTTAGAAATAAATGTACGTAAACACATAAACGGAACACCTTAAGAAAAAACCCTTACCTTTTACACTACCCTGATGTTGAACTAATTGTACGGAATATCCTTGTAACTGTTGACCATTTGCTACTTTCAACGTGACACCTATGAATTTATAATAGAAAAAATTTATTGCAAGAAATGAAAAAATCTTAAATATGACGTTTAAACACTTATAAAATAATTCTTACCTTGTCCTGGAGTGCTTTGATTATTTGCTGTTTTTATTAAAGGAGATGTTCCAACTTTTGGAGTAGGTAATATTCCAGCTAAATTTTTTAGTTTAGTTTGTGTCTGCCGTGGAACGGATAACGGTTTAACTTGATTGGATAATCTAACATTAATTTTAATTTTTCCAGATGGGCATCTCGGAGGTGGATCTGGTTGTGTATCTATTTCTTCTATAAGCTTTCGTGTTGTTTGCAATCGTCTGATTCTATGCGCCACAAACGCAGTAAAAGTTAATTCCAGATCACACAATAAAAGATTAATACTAGATAGATCGATATGCTATAAAAGAAAAAATAAATATATTGCACTTTTCTTTAAATCTCTAAGAGCATAATAAAAAAGAATTATATATATTTTACCTTAAATGGATCATAATCAAGAACACTCCATATTAACGAAGCAGTAATATATTCAATAGCTTCCATTTGAAATGGTGATACAGTAGGTCTCACTTCAAATAAATTTGGGTGATTGCATACTTTCCTTAATTGCATTAATACATTAATGACACTTAACAGATTGCCACTAGCTAGAGTCTCCTTTGTTCTAAATAAAAAACGATCATATATATTTATATATTATATAAATTTTTATGATATAAAAGAATAAAAAATGTGCAATGCTTACTTTGCTCTTGACATAAAATCATCATAAAGGTATCGCTGTCGTTTTGACAAACGGCACATTACTACGTGCTCATATTTTTTGGGTAATTGTTTTTCTACTTCTGTTTTTAATCTTCGTAATAAAAAAGGCCGTAAAACCTACAATTAATATAATTGTTATATAAGTAACATATAAAAAAGATTCACACATGGAGAGAAAAAAAGTTGTAGCAGTTGTTTCTCTAAACAGGTTTCGTATGTCAAATCAATATTTTACGACACGCGAGGTTTTAATAGAGAATTTTAATATTTCGCTATTTATATAAAACAGACATGTGATTCGTAATCATATATCTGGGTCGGTAGCGAATGATTATATACAGTAAAATAAAATATACAAAAACAAATTACGTACAAACCTTATGCAGACGACGAATAATATTTTCATTGTATTCGCTGTTCCCTTCTATCATTCCAGTAACAGGATTACTAAACCATTCTTTAAATTCTCTATGTGACTGAAATACATTTGGCATTAAAAAATGCATTAATGACCACAATTCCATCAAATTATTCTGGAGAGGTGTTCCAGTAAGCAATAATCGTCTGTATAATAAGAATTTTTATATATAAGTTATCCGTATAAATTTATATATATGCATTACTCAAATATAAGAGCATAAATATTCACCGTTGCGTTTGAAAATTTAATAATAATTGCCATCTTTGCGATTTGAAATTTTTTATATTTTGAGCTTCGTCCAATATAAGATACTTCCATTTTTTTCTTCTAAAACTTTGATGGTCCTGTATAACCAATTTATATGATGTTATGCAAATATGAAAAGCGTTAGGTTTAGTCCAACCTAAAAATAATCAAAACATTTCAAATTATTTATTATTTTCATTAACATTTCAATTCAAAGATAAATTAATACCTGTTCTTTTTTGTTTCCTTTCTTTTTGTGTTCCGTAATACGTCAAAATCTTAAATCCCGGGCACCATTTCTTGCATTCCATTTCCCAGTTGAGCATCACAGATGTTGGTACTATTATAAGATGAGGACCCCAGTTTCCTTTTTCACACGCTAAATGTGCGAGTAACGCAATTGTTTGTATGGTTTTACCTAAACCCATTTCATCTGCCAAAATACCATTTAATTTCCTATCGTACATTGTGACAAGCCAGTCCAATCCTATATGTTGGTATTCTCGAAGAGGATGTTTTAGAAGAAATGGAATTTTTGTAACAACCTAAATTTAATTAATTTTGTTAGGAAATCAGAAACTTTAGTTTAGTTTTATTAATAATTTATAAAAAATTGTTGTGACAATTCTTTAAAATAAATCGATGAATCAATTTACTTATAATAAAAAAAAAATATCACTTATGCTTTAGCCTTCGAAAATAGTCATGTGCAAAATATTGTAACACAACTTTGGATAGAAGGCTGAATAATTAATGCAAATTAAAAAAATATAAAAATAACACGTACGCTAGTAGTAAGTAATGTATTTCCTTTAGGTTGAATACTTTCTGCCAATGCCGCTACATTATCCATTTCATTGTGAGCATCTGAATGATCCATTTCTGCAGTCTATACAAGGTGAATAGTCAATTATTTTGTTACATATTTTATTTACTTTTGTATATTTTATTATACAAGCATATCTTACTTTATCGTCTGATGATTTTTCCATAGATACATCTTCTAATAGAGATTTTAGTCCAATATCAGTTTCATTATCAGTTTGTGTTTGGAACTCCTCTTCTCCAATTTCATTATCACTTTCTTCACTTTCACTTTCATTACTTGTAAATTCCTCATCATTCTCTTGATTTTCTTCTTTTATGCTTTCTTTATCCGACTCTATACAAATAAATATATATTTAGTACAAGTTTTCATATTTATTAAATTATTATAAAAAATTTTAACTTTCAGACAAATGCCTCAAGTCACATCAGAAGCAGGAATTAAAAATGAAAACCATTTTTTAAACCATCAGGATTGGTAAAATATCATCATTAATGAATAAATATTAGGTGACAAAAATTAACTTAAATAATATTTACCTTCAACAGGTTCTTGTTCAACATCCATTGTCATATCTGACATGTTACCATATTTGGCCATGAGTTCATCAATGGACATTTCATTTTCAGCCTAAAGTATTAAACTCTTATATTACAGAAAAAATCCATAACTTCACCATAATAGCTAAAAAAGTACACATACTTTAAGATCATCTAATTCTTGTTTATAATCCGTATTTTCTTCCAATTTTTCTTGTTCCATAATAGTTTCCTCCTCATCAGAAGATTCATCTGATGCGGCAACAAAATCCATATCTCCATCGGTTGGCTTTTCGTTTTCCTATTGAAATGTATACACAACAAATAATTTATTATAATAAAAAAATTGTAATTAAAATCTTTGATCTAAAGCTATTTTACATACTTCTTCAACTTCTTTTGATGCAGGTGACAGACTTTTATTTCTGTTTTCTAAGTAATCAGGTGGTAGTTCTTTAAGAAGATCTTCTAAGGGCAATTCTGACTCTTTCTTCAACAATTCAACTTCTTCTTTATGATTTGTCACAGACTTTAATTCTTCTTCAGCTTTTGCTATAGTTTCTTCATCATCATCTGAACTTTGGTTTGGTTGAAAATCCTCTATTAAAAAATACATTATATATTAAATATATATATAAAATAATTATATATTAAATATTATATATTTTATATACATATTAAAAATATTAACATAATTAAAATATGATAAATTTGATAAAATGTATTTGACGAACCATCAGAATGAGATTTCCCAGGTGGTACTGGAGAAGAAATACGCGAACTATTCATAGAGGCTGGTATACTTTGAGGGCCATCAGTTTTATTAAGTCCTTCAGTTAACCAGGTTGAATATTTCTCTGTTTGTCCCACAATAAAATTTAAATGTTGATCTAATGCCTGCTTTCTCTTTTCTTCAAGCCTCGTTTGTTGCTTATATTCCACCAACTTAAAAAAAGAATATAAAAATGAAATATGCACGATGTATATTCAGTATAAGTGCTATAAAAATAAATGTCCTGACCAATTCTTTGATTATACCGTAATAACAAATACAATCATACACTATTAGCAGACTTTGCTGTTCCCACAACGAGCACACAGTTTCAATTGGAATACATTGAAATTGTCGGCTTAATTGTGTGGGGTAAAATTGTTACATATTATAATTTACAAACTCCTACCTTTTCCACATTTGTCCAAAAAGTTTTGATTTCTTTAGCAATAAAGCTAGCAATTTTCTTTAACCTAAGTTCTTGTGATTTTTCAGCTTTTTGTGCTTGGATTGCTTTCTCTTGGAAATATTTCTGTACCATACGCGCACACTTCTTTGCTGCAGCTTTCTTCCACTTTCGTTCTTGAGCAAAGTCAGCAGCTAACCAAACCATTTCCTCTAATAAATAATCCCAATGAGCCTTTGTACGAGGTGGTTCTTGCACCTTAGGCAATCTTCTTTCTGACCATAATCCTTCCCGTTGTAATTCTGCAATCCTTTGCATAACGTATGCTTCCTGTAAATATTTTATATAATTTAACATAATTATAGTTTCAAACATTAATAATCAAACATTAATAATAATTTATCAAATATTACGTAATTATATAAAATGTACAATTAGATAAATGTATTTTACCTGTTTTGCTTTTTCTACTATTTGTTCTTGATTATTTATGATATCACATGATGTAGCTACATTAGAGGCAGGTAACTTAACAAGTTTAACAACAGGCTGAGTAGGTGTAGTAGGCGCAGAAGATGTTTTTGTAACAGTAGTAACAGTAGCAGTAGTAGTAGTTGTTCCAGTAAAAGTAAGAGTAGGGGTAGTCATTGTAGTAATAGTTGTAATAGATGTAGATATTGTAGATTTTTCTATCACTGGATTTATAACAGTTGTTGTCACAGATTTTGGCGAACCTGGAACTATCGGTGCATTGCCTGTAATAATAATAATAAAACAATTTAATACATGAAAAAATCTATTTAAAAAAGATTAAGAACAGTATATATATATGTATCAACAGCTTTTTAGGCTGAAAAGTTTATTGCTAAACAACCTTACATTTACTGTGAATTAATTTTTCCAGAAAAAGTGAACTGATTCACAATGTATAACTTGAATCAGCTATTAATTATATATTCTGGAATATAGTTTCTATAATACTTTACAATATCAACAGAACATACTACCATAATACGTGATTGATTAACATAAAGACACAGATGTTCTTTGAAGGTATAAATTACTATGAAAATGAATTGTGCACATTAATGATTATATTAAAAAATAAAATAAAACAAAAAATTATGTCAAATATGAAAGAAAATGTCCTAACTGTTTTTTTCAAATGAAAATCACTTTTCACTTACCATATCATATTTATTCAATAAAGTTTATAGTAAACTGTTTTACTAATAGTGCAAAGTAATATTTAGTGCTATTTTCTCAATTAGATAAGAATTACTGAAAATTTTCAAACATAACTTTATAGAATAAAAATTATTTTTAAAAAAATTAATGGATCTAAACATCAAATGATAAGCCTGCAGTAATCACCTATAATGAGCGTGGGTGCTAGAGTAGAAGTAGGTGGAGGGTGAGCGGTGACTGGTGAAGACTGAATTGCTGCTCGGAAGGCAAATACCATGCCATGGCGGCCCCCTTGAGGCCTACCTGGTACATGTCCTATTATGCAAAGTAATTATTTGGTTGTTGTAAAATATATACTAAAACTCTTAACTTCTTTTCTACATTTTCAAAAAGTAATAATAAAGAAACACTAATATTATAATTATCTACATAGTACATATTAAAATATGTTTATAATTTTATATATTACATAAAAATCTTTTACTTTATAATTTTTTTTATGGAAAAAATGGTGTGCCTTCTAGTATTCTAAGAAAAATGATTGATGCTAGATATAAAGTATTATTTTATTAGGAAATTATATGACTACCATTGATATAATTTAAATCATCAACTCAATTACAAATATATTTACAATGACAAAGTGGTTACCTTGTTGATTAAGTTGAGCTACTGCAGCAGGCAATGTTGTAGACACTGCAACTGGAGCAACATTTATTCCAGAAATTTTTACTTCTGTACACTGATTCACAGGAACTATTGTAGAAACAGTTGTTGCAGTTGGCATTAATGGAATTTCTGACATTGCTGGCAGTGGGGCTGTTAAATCTTCATCATCATCATCTGGATCTAATCTATGTTGCCGTAAAAAATGCAAATATTGAGATGTTGGAGGTCTCTTCCTCCATGACTGAAAATCCATCATATTGCCTCCTATATGAAGAAAGAACAATTCTGATGCATTTTCAGCATATTTTTCTCTTATTGCACGCATCCTTTTCATTTTATGTTCCATAATTCTTCTTCTATAACCCATTGCATCATCAGCAATCATAGTAGGTTTTTCAGTGGAATCTGTTAACTTTAACTTCTTTCTTGCAGGTGATGATTGCATAGAAGCTTGAGAGGTTGGTGCAACAAACATATTTCCAATAGAAGTTCGAACAAGTTTTGGAGATGTTGCTAAAACAACTTTAGGTGAACTCTGACGAGTGGGAGATGTAAGAGCTGAATTACTTGCACCTGCAAGTCCCATGGTACTTGCCCGTGATGGTGTACCACTAATATTAACAATTCTTGTAACACCAACTTGTTGAATATTTGCATTTGTTGTTGAATTACTTGGTATAACCTACAATTATACAAAATTATTTAAAAAGACAAAAATTATTTAAACATTATATATTAAAAAATTTAGAACAAAGATTAGATTGTGTAAGATTTGCACCTGTGTAAGACCAGGAACCTGTGAAGTAATAACAAATTGCTGCCCAGCACTTGTAGTAAGAACATTAAGTCCTTGGGCAGTAGCAAGAACTTGTTGTAAATTAACAGTTTGTTGCGATGCACCTCCATTGCTACTCCCATTATTTCCTCCACCCCCATTAAGGGGTGGTAAAATAGGTGCAGTCTGCTTATCACTCATTACACATTACACTATAATACAAAAAAATATTTCAATCATCTATGATATTAGGGAAAAAGTAAAATAAAAGTAAAATAAATAACATTACTTATAAAAAAAAAATATTAAATTAATGCGTACATATAAAATAGTCATATTTATAAAAAAAATACTGAAAACTAAACATATACTTCTTTTCTAATAAATATAAATATATATTATATTTTATCAATAAATATTACATTACTATTTTAATTTGAAATTAAATTACATTATTATTTTAATTCTGTACATATTATTATCTATAAAAATGCCAAAAATATAAATTTAAATAATTTATAATTATTTATTTAGTTTATAATAAAAATAATTTTTGTATTTTACATATATCAAGAAAATCTTTTTTAAAATCTATACGTTTGTATTCAGGTTAAATTAAAGCAAACGAATAGGGAAAATAAAAATAAACAAAGATAATTAAAACTTTTTTAAATAATTCGAAATTGTGCAAATGTATATTTAAAAAAACTTTTCTTTAATAATTGCGTAGTAAATCTATTTCGTATAAAAAAGTAAACATACAAAATCGATAATTGAAGAAAAACATGTATAAGAAACAACAAACTAAAGCTTCACAGATTACTAATAACAGTTTATTTTTCAATTATTTAAAAGATGTATAAGCAATTTATCATTTAATTTCCGATTGAATTTGTACATTTCAAGCTTGTTCCAAATAAGATGATCCCAATGAATTAAAATGAGAACGTTAATTGATTTGTGAAAAAAGCGCCGAAATCAAAATTTCTCTGTTGATCCAACTGATACACCACATTGGAATTTGTAAAACATGCGTATTGCGCAGGAGAAAAAATATCCTCAAAAATATGGCATTATGAACAACAGGAACATATCTACAATCAACTGAACAGCGAAATGAACGATGTCATTTGGAATATCAAAAGATTGCAACGAATACACAAACGTCCAATATATCAAGCACTCAGGGCGTTCAAGTCTTTTTAATAAAAAAAAACGTCAATTTATCTTAATACAGTAACGATAATCGTCACGCTAATACGTTAGTTAGGCTTTTTGAAAGTAAAAACAGCTTTCCCGATCCTTCCAAATATATCGCTCCTCAAAAAAATACATTTTTCACAATTGCGTCAGTGGAGCCTCGCGGCAATACAAAGGAAATTTTTCGTCCGCCATGTTGGCGTTAGTCTGATAGGAGGGCGGACTTACCATACTGTAATCACAAAATTCTGCAACGTAGGTGAGCCATCCACAAAAATAATTGTTACACCCGTGATCGACGAGCATTAAATTGTAATTAGGTACTTCACGTAATGTACAGTGCATGAGCTATATCTAATATTTTGCAGAACATTTTCGCTCGACTCGCTCAAGGACGCACACACTTCTAAACATGGCGATGGTTCCCGACAAATTTCGACCACGACCAGATCGCGAGCTGCTTGCTACTTCACGTTTACACAAGCCACGGAGAGATGCCGCTCCAACTAGGCGCTGAATCTCCGATTGGTCGGACACAACCGGATATTTGGCAACGTGGCAGCATCAAACGTTCCCAATTGGTTACTGGTAAAAATATTAAAAGGGCTCATTTTCCGACTGACGAATCAAATCAGCAACTATTATTTCTAAGTGTAAAATATACATTCTACAAAATTTATCATTATATAGATTGCTATATCTATGTAAATTATTGATAAAAAAATAGTACAGTTTATTACTTTGCGATAAATATCGGAGATATAAAAAAATCTTTGGCGAAATTGGGAAAGTAATTCCATCCGATTATTTGTAAAATAATCAATTTCTTGGAGAATAATTGCAAAATAAACAATTTTGTGACGTTTAGAATACCGAGATCAAAAGATCTTGTAAGAATAAATCGTTATTATCCTTCAGTAAAAATCTTACATGATTGTATAGTGATCGACAAATATAGGCATACATTACATGCAGTATTACATCACTTTACATTCCTGGCATCGCATAGAAAACCGTTATTCAAATGTTTCGTTCCAATTTATAATGCAAACAAACTGATACGACTACAAATTATGTATATATATCATGTATCTTCCGAAACATTGTCTCTTTTACTTTAGAGCTACACATCACGTGGTTTAACCATTTTACATCGTACTCGTATAATTAAACGTTTTTTCCTTATTTCTTTTTATCATGATTCTCACAATTATTGTTTATAAAAAGAAATGTGACAACGCATTAAAATACTTATAAAAAAAATTTTTTAATCTTACATTCATTTTATAGTTAATAGTATACTCATTATCAAGAATTCCTATCTTGAATAAACAAACTTTTCAAAATATTGTTAATATGATGTGTCTATTAAAATAATAAACTAAATTTTGATCAAATTTCATATCATGCGCAACATGGTTGCCGCGCTATATATGCATAAACATACCACGTGTTACTCGCAACCATTATACCGTAATACAGTACGAGAGCAAGTGAAAAAAAGGAAGATGAAGGACTTACTTTTTCGTTGATCTTCAGTCTGTAGCTTTTTGTCCCGGTAAATATGTGTGTTTTCTAACCAAACCCAAAAAAGTGTACATCTTTGTATTGAACACATGCGCAATTTCTCGTGATATAACGTATGTTACACACATTTTCAAATGCAACGACAAAACTCCGATAAATCTTCTCAGAGAAAACCATAATTATACCTACGGTAGACTGTATGTAAATCTTGATCGAATAACAAATGAAATACAATATGCTTCAGTTTGTGTAACACGTTTTTCTGAGTTTACTTGATTCTACTGTACTTAACGAGGTGTCCGCATGCGATATGTACAATCGTAAGAATGACTGAGATCATTTCGATACTCGGCGCATCATCTTTTGGATACCCTGTTACATTTACATTGATCTACGTAGTATGCGCAATAATGATTTAAAATTTCTACTCTAATGGATGTAGCAAAAAATAAAAATTTCATTAAATTATTTTAAAATAATCATAAATTTTGGAACTCTAATGTTTTTTTGTTGCGATTAATTTCATGTACTATAAATTAAAAAATAGGATCGTAATGCAAACAATAGCTTCAATTCTCCGGAAGTTTGTCAATTTCAGCTAATAATTAATTTGATAATAAATAATTAGTATAAGAAGATTAAACGATTAATATTTATGAAAAGTATGACGTACAGCACTGACGAAGGAAGAAATGAAATACTGATTATCCTACATAAACATGACAAAACTAAGTACGGCCATACATTCAAAATTATCAAGTACTATGATAGAACAATTAAAACGTCAACAAATTTGTACTGTTATACAATTTATAGATGAAGATTCTGAAAATTTAGTAAAATTTACAGGATTATTGTTAAAGGTATATATATAAATTTATTTACGGAAAAATGATTAAAATAAATCTGAATTCTGAAGTCTATTATGTAAATGGTAATTTTTACAAACCGTTAATTTTAAGGTTAAATTTCTAGGATATATTTGAAATTAAGCAAAATATTTTTAAAAAATTTGGAGGTGTAGTAAAAAATGCATTTGAATTGTTGGAGATAGAACAAAATAATATAGTTCCCACTAATTTAACAAGGTATATAAGTATGTTAAATATCAATAGTATCAATTGAAAAACTAATATTGAATTCAACTGATTAGTTTAGATAATTTGTTAAAAGGTGGTTTATATTACGGTCAAATATATGAAATATGTGGTATATCTTCAAGTGGTAAAACACAATTATGCTTTGCAATTGCAACTAATACTGCTCTGGCACCTAATAATATTGTGCGGTACATTGATACAAAAAGAGATTTTTGTGGTTCAAGAATAGAACAAATTCTACTAAAAAAGAATTGCAGTAAGCAGGTATAGGATACTAATTTAAAATTATAATTATGATTTGGTAAGCTATACAAGGGCAAAATAGTTAAACAAAATATTTTTATTTCAATTGTAGGTTATTGATGAAGTTATGGACCGTATTAAAGTATGCTATGTATATAGTATACATCAATTGTTTAAAGTTTTATATTGGTTAATGGATAGTTTAAAAAAAGAAGACGAAGGATGTCGTACCAGAATTATAATTATTGATTCTTTACCAGGAATAATTTTCAGATCTTCTAAGGATAAAAAGACAACCATTACATTGAATCATTTAGCAAATGTATGTCATTATATTGCAAAAGAATATTATTTATCAATTGTTACTGTTAATTTAATTACTGATTGGAGTTCGGTAATTCAAAAAGGACCTAGTACAAGCTCAAAAGAAAATTATGATGTAACGCCTACTTTAGGAAAGTATTGGTTGCATATTCCTAATACAAGGCTGCTATTAGAAAAAATAGGAGTTGGAAACAGAAAACTTTCAATTTGGAATAGCTTCCAATTGGAAGCAAATCTTGCATGTACTTTAATTATAAATGATTCTGGTATTTTGTTTCCATAAATATATTATATATGTTTTTGAATAAGTACAAATTTATTATCTTTATAAAACTCCTGTAAATAAATAAATGTACGTATATTTTGTACACTATATAAACTAGTTGAATTATTAATAATTTAATCAGTATTAACAATAAAATGAATTCATTTCACCTATCATATATTAAAAATATTTATAAATAAAATAAATTAATTTTGGTATTGGACCATTGAAATTTTAATATTGATTGACATGATAAAACTAATCTGATAGAGTTTTGGGACTTACGTAGTAAATTTTATGTTTACCGCAAATTTCAAAAATACAAGAATGCCATCAATAACTTCCGGTGACGTTAGCTTTGCAGCGTTGCCGTATTTTGTGAATGTAGACAGAGGCATAACTGTTTATAATGGTTATATTAGATTAGTGTTTGTTAAAGTATATTGTTAATTAATTGGTAAGAACGATGGCTTCCTTAGTTGCGGATTATGGAACTTCCTCGAGTTCGGAAAGTAGCGGCGATGATATTTCAGACGGTGTCAATAACACGTAAGCTTTCGTTGTCACGAGTATGTTTCCCTATTGTTTATTTTCTTCCTCCGTATAACCTCATAATCACAAATTCTTACTCTCAGAACGTATTATTGTGCACGCTGTATTTTGTACAAATATATATTTATTTCTCATGAAACAACAAATAATCTTGTATATCTTAGCCTAAGTTCATAGAATAAAAATTGAAAAAAATTCGTTCACTTCTTAAATTTTATATTTCACAACACAATTGTAACATTGCTTTTTTTGTAGATTTTTTCATAGATTTTTAAAATCATGCTTCAATTTTAATAAATAAAGTACATAATGACAGTCTGCATTTTTATATTCATTTCTCATGGATTTATGTTATTTATATTTTATATATTATATATTTGATACATTAAATGTTAGTATAAACACATTAAGTAGTGTAAATCACAGTTAGTAGTTACACATCAAATTGAATTTGTTCTTTGTAATCTGATATTGCCTAACCCTTAGTTTGAAGGAAGAGGAAGAAGAGGATGAAGAAGAGAATGATGAAAACAATGAAATGTGTAAAACAGCTTCCAAAGAGAAACTTCCATTACCAACTCCAGACTTTAATGGCATACCCACAATGAAAACTTCAGTCTTCTCAAATCCATTTGTTGAGGCAGAAAAAGCAAAGAGTGCAATTCTTGAGAAACATGTGAAAATGACACCAACTCTTGATGATACGAAAATGATAAATGGCAGAAAGATTTGTTGGAATTATAGAAAAGGTAGATGCCGGTTTGGCCATAATTGCACCTTTGCACATGATTCTGATTTACATCGTACAGCAGCTGAGTTAGAGGCAATTAGAACACCACAGGAAACGGTTATTTGTCAGACTCAATATAATGGTCAAGTTTCCATCAATGATGATGATGAAATAGATCAAGAAAATAATCAAATGAATAGACGTAAAAAGAGGCCAGGATTAAGTCAGTCTCTAATACCTAGTAAGAAAGTTTTAAAAATGTACAAAGCACAACAAGCTAAAGCTATTAGTAGGTAAATGTAACTGTGTCAAATGTTAACATATTAGCTGCTCTGAGATGGGAATAATTTATGATTTATATGCTTTATAACTCAAATGAATTTCTGTAAATGGAATTGATTACATTTTGATTACATTTTATAAAAAATTTTATAAAAAATGTAATCAAAAAGCAGAAAACAGTATAAAAGATTAATCATTTCTTTATATGAACAAAAGAGAAAAGAATAGAACAAATATGCTTCCAATAAAATGACACGTGCAGATTATGCCTATTTCTAATTGAATTGAAAGTTTCAGAATTATTTAAATATTACTCAATATTTATAAAAAGAAATGTTTGTTATGTATATAAAAAATATAGAGTTTAATTGTATAATTAATACTTCCAGGGACCTGTATAAGTGGATCATAATTCATTGTCTTGCATGCAAATAGTTTTATAAATATATTTCTATTTATACTTGGTATTTTCAACTTGCCCAAGATGAAACATGTCTTCTCACTACTAACTACTATTTGTTTCTCTTTCATTAGAAAGAAGTAGTTATTTGAAAGTTTTGCTGTATCTGAATTCTGAAATATTTACAAAAATAGTCAAAAATAATTATTCTATCTAAATATTATATAAAATATTGCTGCAGCTTTACTAAAAATTTTTTAGATACTGTTTAATGTACAGACTATATATAAAAATATCTATGTAAAAGTGATGTATGTAAAGAAAGAATTATGTGAGTTATGTACAATATTGTCAATATTTTTTCTCAATAAGCTATTTAATCTAGAATGTAATTTAGAAATATTATAACAATGGTATACCAAAAAAAAGAAAAGAAACTACAATTACGCTTCCATTATGCATTACTTTTTACATAATATTTAAGGTATAAAAGAGGGCTTTATAATTCTACATGGGAAAACAAAATATGAAATATTTATTATTTCTGATTTCAATAATGTAATATTAATTAATTTTGTCTTCGTGCGATTTATCTACTTCAGTATTTTATTATTAAAATTTTTTTGTTTAGTATGTATTATATCTGCTTCATATGTTATAATATATTTACTTCATTAAACTTCAGCAATATACTAAATACAAAAGGGATAAATTTGTTAAAACGAATGCAAAATCCGAAAATATTGTCGAAGAATGTAACACAAACACAGGTTTATAAGATTTCTTTTTTATTTTATAAGTTTACGAAAAAGAATTTTTCGAAAAATAGCAATAAATTACATGACCAAGATGTTATTGATTTTTATCCTTCTCCTAGCTGTACCATATGAAAATGAATATAAGTTTTAATCTGAAAGCAACACGATAATAAATTATTTAGTACAACTTAATAATTTAAAAGAATAGAAGAAGGAAGAAGCACAAAAGCTTGTGCAAGAAGCAGGAAATGAACGAAAAATGATAGGCACATGACATTTTATTAGATAATCATGGATACAATATGAATTCAGATCAATTATATATGGTATAACTGCATTGATAACTGATTATTGCATCTTTCATTGAAAATATATATTTATATATCATTCTTTTCACTTCTGCGACCGAACATCTCACAGGCACTTTGTCTCTAAATAATGATAAAATTTATGATAAATATGATAGCTTTTATGTAAAATAAGCATATATATATGCATATATATAACCATCACAGTTTATGTTCATTAAGTTATGTTCAATGATGAAACAATTTTTATTGGTAAATTAAATAATAAAATTAACGTTCTTTACATAAGGGACACTACAACTCAGAAATCGATATTTTTATTTAACCCAACAGTATTTCCAATAAATTAAAGTATTTCAAACTTTTTATAGATTAAACTTTTATGGATATACCTGTTAAGTACTAGTCGACAATTACCTTGTCACGACTATAATACATAATTCTGACAATACTGTAGAACAGTACAATCGTTGAACCATACTTTTCATAATTATTCGACGATATTCATTCAAAGACAAATAAAATATTAGATTTATCTCAGCATTTTATAAGAGGTCACTAATGATTACTTACAAAATTTATATCTATAGTAGGGACCAAAGTTTTTCATCTACAGTACAATTTATAAATTTAAAATTGTCCATATTAGTGCAGCATATTTTCTATCAAGACATTAAACATTTCTAAAGAAAAATATACTTCATACAGACATTGTTTGTTCATGAATAATTACATAGCTCAATGCGTGTTTTGTATGCTATGTGTTATGTAATATTTTGTATCACAATTATTTATAGTAATTTTTTAAAATAAAGAATTGTTACTGTAGGTAAAATACAACGAAGAAAACAGATGAAAAGTGAAATGAAGTGATTTAGATGTAAAAATGCTTGGTACATTAATCGACATCGCTTGTTAAACAGATCGGTAAAAAATAAGTTACAGTCGAATTATTAAGTACATTTCGCGTAGGTACCTCCAAAGTGTGCACGCAAGAATTAAAAAATAGGTATCATAGTTTGTAAGTTTATCATTTTCGTATTGCCTAAGAAATTTTTAGATCAAGTTAATTGTCAGTGCCAATAAAATATTTTGTTTCTTTTTAGAGTTACTTAGATAATTTGTCCCTTATCATTGCCTAATATATATTTACCGTCATGTTTTCACATCATTTCGAAACTCGTTACATCCTTTCGTACATTTTTGTTTCAAAAATTATCGTTCAGTGTTTCGTAGGGCTACCACGTTCTTGACTATTGCTTTTTATACTATTCTGTTCGACAAATTTCACGTTACCATTCGTAACACCGTGGACACCATTTTGTACGCCATTTATGATTTTATCTACACCATTGACTCTATAACAATCAACCCCGTTTACTATTTTTTTAACTGATGCGTCTTTTGTTTCCGAAGTGTAAGTACTTTTAGTTTCTGTCGAGCCACTTTCCGTCAAGCCAGCAAGAGCGTAATCTGTGCAATTCAAAAAGAAACTGATCAAACGATAGATCATCATACATAGATGAAGGGGATGTCAAACGACTTACTTCATACATTGATATTAAGAAGATATATGTAACTTGTTGGTCACACACATCTATACTATAATTTAATGGCGGGAGATATTTAACGAATACGTACCATGTAAATTATGGCAGTATTTGTTAGTATTGTTCCACTCTTCTCTTAGACTGAGATTGAACATGCTGTAATCTGGATTTCCAGTGACTTCTTTTTCGATTGTCAGGAACTGTGGTAATATGTTTTTAAGCTCGTCCCCTGATAATGCTGTGTACGTTTCAAGCAGCATCAATCCCCGGCACCTGTCGATCGCATCAGATACATTTATTAATCACGCATGTTACAACAAATTATCTCGTTCGTTACAATGCGTACGATTTCTCAATTCTAACCTTGGATGAGCTGGTTCTCTGTATATATCTAATTGGAAATACTGATTGTTGATTAGGAAGCAACGTCGACGCTTGAAGATGGTAAAATGCGAGTCGTCGCGTTGAGCGAGCATGTTCAGGTAATCCCGATGTGTCAGTTGCGTTTTAACTTCGATCACCTGGCCGCACATTTTCGGACGTCGGATCGTATGAATGTAAGACCAGTGACCTGTGCCAATGTAAATTTGTGTATGATTGTTCACATAAACGATACATCAAACGTATCGCGTATCTCTCGGATAACAATTGTTTGTCAAACGAACCTTTTTGGCCACGTTTGCGAAGACGAGCTTGCATCTTCGGATTGTTACTTTGGAGGTAGTTATGGACGACGTCAAAGTCCTGGAACGGCGGGAACTCAGAGTCCGCCGGCAGTGGACATTTGACGAGGAACTTGACCTTTCTGCTACTCGCCCTCAATCTGTCCCCGGTATCGATGCCCAGCTTCTGGCACACGCATTCGATCATGCGACAGATTTTCGACTCGAAGTCTTGCGAGTTGTCTATCACGTCGAAGTAAGGATGGCCAACCCAGGCTGCGGCCGCTTTGTAATCGAGTTCTCTGGCCATATCAACGCCTTCCGACCGACACGCGTGTTCTTCCGTCGAGTAGAACTCCTCGGCACCGTTTGCCGCCGAAACCATGTGGATGATTTGATTGTATCTGTTGTCTCGCAGTTCGACGTTGTTCCATCCGTTCGAGGCCATCATCAACTCCCACTTGTCCTTCGATATAACTAGATCAAAGAAGAGGAAGATCTGGCTGAACTTTGATTCATAAAGGACGAAACGGAGAACTATGAGCGGTTACTGATTATTTGTTGCTCACATGCAGAGGCATCCATGGCACCACGGTCACAGATGATGAGACAATTTCTCGAACAGCTCTCGCCCAGCTGGAAGAACGTGTTCTCTATTTGTATCATCGTGCGCAGCAGGTTCTCTTGAAATTTGAATGCTGAAACAGATCAAGGTGAATGACGTACAATTTCCAGATCGTTTAATATGAAACAGGCAGCGTAATAACTCTCGTTGTGGTTTCTTTATCCTACGAGTCAACTTTTACACGCTACCCGGTTGACTATATAGCCACGTCGTAACTACTTTCCGCACACAGTTTGCAACTGTTTACGTAATAAGCAAGCCATGAATTAATTGGACGTACAAATTTATTAGTTCGTACTTCGTTGATAAGCGATAACTTTCGCGTATTCTTCCGACGAATCACCGCGCGTAACGCTGTTACGAGACTAACTGGACGATTAATTCACATCTCTTTAATAATAAACTTTTATGTTTCGACGTTCGAACGAAGAAAAACGTACACTCAAAAAGCACAAAACTACTTAATCGCGGAACAACGAACGGATTAATAAGAAACGCGATTACAATCGATCGAAATAAATCACACCCTTATCTACCTGAGGTCGACTCTGATCGTGTATTACAACTGTGATACACAATCTTTGTTTCCAAA